TTCCTGCTTCATAATATATTTTAATATCATGAATCATGAGAGCCTTGAACCATCAGAGTAATACGCTTAGCACTGTCCGCACGAAAGCTGTCCCCTTTAAATGCAATCTGAGAGTAAAATCATACTCAGGATCCTCCAGACAATTGAAACAACAAAAAGCTATAATTGTTTAAAAAATCCCTTGTCAGTTACTAAAGCTGTAGCCTGTAAGTTACCTCAGTCGGACTATCAGGAGGGAACCACCGCAACAATGCACCAAGATGCACAACAGCGGGAATTAGCTTGAAAAGCAAAGGTGTAGTCACCTGCACTATTTCTGTCTGCGTAAGCTTCAAAATCTCACAAATAGTTGAGAACTTGATGCAAATAACATATCAAGATTACCCATGAAACTGGCTATAATACTCAAAACTATGCACAATAATTCTACAAAAGGAAGACCAAATGTTTTACTGGTTATAGCCTGTTAAAAACTTCACTCAGATTTACTGGTGATACCCTGGTTGTCATGTGTATGCAAACAGACAAAATAAAGATGGTCAACAAACAAAATTTATCTACCAAAAACAAATAATACGGTTCACTGATGATGGCTAGCTGAATACTATGAACATGATTTCCGATAAAAAGGATTATCATACTTTTCATTAAGCCCCATTTTCTATATTATACAAATGTTGAAAAATTACGTCAGAAAAATGACCATGGTTTGTGGGCTTGAAACAATAGTTTGCCAGAGTAGATGCAACTTGCAATCTCTATAGTGGGTATAGATAGCCTAATAACTCTAACCCTTGTACCAAAACCATAAAGTTATTCTATGATAAAAAGAAAATTCAATCGTGACAGAAGCTTTAAGAGGATATCGCTATACAAAGAGAGAGATAATTGTTTCTGCAAAGTAAAAATAAAATAAAACAACTTTAATTTTAGGGATGAAAAACTAGCATGTCTTCGAAGGGGATGGAATGGCTCGAGTGATACAAATCACACAATGCCGGCAAAGTAATTGCCAGTTTGAATTCATGACAAATGAACTGCACCAGGATTGCTTAAAAGACCAGTATTTCAACATTGTTATAAGGTTTGATAATTTCGTATAAATATTATTCTATAAAGAAGTGCATGCATACCAGACTAAGAGCTGTTGTTCCAAGAAGCAATAAATACAACTTTCCCTGCAGTAAGAATCAGACATTCAATTTATGTATTTAAAAGTAAACGCAGAAAAATGCAATTACATTCACATTTCAAATGATAAAAGCACAGCTAGAAAACTGCATATTTTTTTAATAAAATACATTTCCAACCTTGTGCTAAAATTTGTTTCCTTAAATACTGGAAGATAAATTTCACTGTCTTCATAAGCATAAGCACAAATTAGATAAAATGACTGTCCCAAAATGAAGCACATACCTCAACTAAATGAAGATTTGAAGCACGGCTGAGAAGAACAAAAGCAAATTCCCCAATTTGAGCCAGGGACATCCCAACCTACGCATGTGGAATAACCTAAGGCTCCTCCGTCAATGAAATGTATGAAGTAATCAACAAGCAGGTGTAATTGTATTAACTGTTGTCAAATCTTACAAGAAGTGAAGTCTTGTTGCTGTATCCAAACCCCTTGACAACAGATGCAGCTACAATTGTTTTTATAATGATCACCAGTATAACAGCTGCCAGTAAAATGTCAACATGATTCCAAAGGAAATGGACATGTATAAGCATCCCGATGCTGGCCAAGAACAGGGCAGCAAAAAAGTTGCGAATTGGCTCAACCTAAATATTTATTAACAACCTTGAGTAACCTCAAATAACTAAAGCAAAAGATGAACATCTGAAATTTTATTTGCTTTTGCTTCAAGAAGGATCCTTGAAATACATTTGGGAAGACCACCGTCAATGATGAAAATACAAAGAAGTATCAAACAGAATATTCAAACATACCCACTCCACTAAAACATGCTTAACATGACAAAGAACAGCTGAATACCCAGCTACCCACACGGAAAAAAAAAAATCATAAATACCAAGCAAAAGATAGGAACTACAAAGAACATAGATCCTAGGACAATGTCTTACTTGTTCAAGTGTATGTTGACCAAGATCTGTTGTTGATATCATCACTCCCGCAGCAAAGGAACCTAGTTCAAAGCTTAAGCCCAGCTTATCACTACACTGAAATGAAACAACAACTTATTAAAACATTTTTTTAAAGTTACAAAAGTTGTTTGGACTTTATAAATGTATGTATAAAGAAGTGTCAGGCATGCATGCATTTAAGCAACCCCTCAAATTTAGGGAAATAAAGTTGGGTGCATATTACACATCAAGAGAAAACAACCAGACTTATCCATGACTGGCATCATACAGTGTACATGATAAAACAGACTACTAAGATGAAATGGATTTCCAAATAATGAAGATTAAGACTTCATAGAAGGCACACCCAAGCAACAAGTAGGCAGAATGCCACTGATGCAAGTTGATAAAGTTCATTGGTCTGCACAAAAATAAAATAAAATCAGTTCAAAACTAACACACAAACATTTAATGACAGAGCAAAAGGTCTATCTTCACCTGAGAGGACAAGCTTATCATAAGCTTAAGGAACCATGGCACACATGTACGACATAATATTGTCAAAACGGCCAAAAATGAAATCAAGACCACCAACCTGAAGCAACAGAATTAATAAACCAGAAAGAATAAACAACTGAATTAAGCATACAACCAAGTAGGATGAAGTTAATATCATCAGCACATCAAGTCAAGGTCACTTCCTTACGAAATTCAACTAGAAAATGGAGTATGTAATGCTGTATTGCTGTTATCTATGCAAGCAGAACACCTTTAGTTACAAGTTTCTTTTTTTAGATCCTGGGACTGGACACAGTTAAGGGGCAAATCCTCTACCCACATATGCTACTCTAGTTACTAGTCTTTTATGTAGATTGATTCTGGGATAGGATAAGATTTTTTTATGACAATCATCTGGTTGTCATCTAATGGTCTCTTCAAGGAACTCTCCATCCCAAGAAAGCAAAAGGAACAAAGAACTTTATTCTATTCCCGAATTTGATTGTTTTTTCTTTGTATTTTGTTGTAGTGCCTTTGCTAGGGATGAATTTTGTGGACTCTCTTATATGTACACATTACTAATAGGGGTGTGCAAAAAATCCAAATTGATCCGAACCGATCCATAACCGATCCGATCCATATTGAAAAATCCGATCCATTTTTAAAAAAAATCCGAACCGAACCACTTTATAAAACCGGTTCAGTTATCCGATCCATTTTTACAAAGTGGATCGGTTCGGTTCGGTTTGGTTTTCTAAAAAAACCGATCCATATATGAATAAAAAAGTGGATAACTGCACCGCACCGAACCGATCCAATTTCAAAAAAACCGATCCATATTTTAAAAAAACCAAACCGATCCACTTTATAAAAAATGGATCGGTTAACCGATCCACTTTTATAAAACGGTATAAAACGGTTCGGTTCGGTTTGGATCGGTTTTTTGAAAAAACCGATCCATGAACACCCCTACTTACTGATAGCTATTATTAAATCATAATTATTAATGTCACATAAATTTTGTATTGAAGACAACAATAACAATTTTATCGTAATAGCGATATGATAATAAGACTAGGGCAATCCATGCACTACAATGTTTCTTTTAATAAAATTCACATACAAGAAGTGCATTAGAACTTCATGTTAACATATCATGCTCAGTAATGGCCAAAAGGGGGTCAAGCACACCAAAAATTTCAGCTCACTTGCATCATCTTAAAATCTCATAGTCATAACAACCTAAGCATCAAAACTATGAGCAGAATATCTTTTATTGATCCACAAAATAGATGTTGAATAGCTCAAAGTGGAATGACAAGATGAGAATACTATGTAGCTGCATTGGGGATCCTTGGGGTTTAATATCATATCACAGATCTTCATAAACTATGGAGAGAGAAGATAAATGAGGGAAATCGATCCTATGATTAACTTACGACTTAGTCATGGATATTACTCCCTGAAGAACACCTGACGTTCCACCCAAAACAGGAAGCAGCGCAAAGAGCAAACCAACAGCACAATCCTGAAAAGAACCAATAATTTCAAACATTTCATTAAAAAAATCTTAACAAGGAATATAGGCGTCATTGATAGCATTAGTCTCTACTAGCAGCAGCAATGTTTCAGTCATACACGTGCATTCATTAATACAAAAATAATAGTACATACCTGCAGTATCAGAGTTCCAATTGTAACCTGACCATGAAGGGCATTGACACTATTCCTTTCCATTAAGAATTTCAAGACCTATGGATCAAAGAAGAATATAAACAAATTTAAAGTAAAATAACAGTAATGAGAAAATAAAATATTTCAAGATAATGCTTTGTTTAGGTGTGATGGAAAAGAAGAATGATAATATCTAGAAAAGAAGTGATCATAGAAAGAGATTAGTATTTTAGATTTTTCATCAACAAGAAAACTTCACTCGGCTACTCTAACTCGAAGCCAACTACTAGTGCATTGCATATAAATTTCTCCTCAATCTAACACTAAATGGAACTGTGTCCTTCATAACATTCTAGCAAAAATCTTCATTTTGTCCTTAAATTTTTGCTAGATTTGATCTGTGATAACAAAGCCTATATTTCAACTAACACTTTGACCCTAAAAAGATAAAGGGACCACCTCCTTCAAAGAAAAATACCTTTATTTCTCATATTTTCCATTGTCCAGCAATTTAATTAACACACAGCTGAAACACTATGACAGCTGTATAGAATGCAGAAATATGAATCAAATATAATCCAAGTGCAACCAGTTAATGATTGCAATAGTATATCACAGTTATTAAAGTGCACTGTGCAGGCATAAGTTACTTAAAATACTTTTTGCCTGCAGTTAAACATTAAACAACATAACAAGTTCATTGTCCAACAAAGTTGTAGCCATACTTGAGGTGTATAATGTAGAAAAGGGATATCAGAAAGAAAACATGTAACAGTGTGATCAGGAAATTACCACAGCTGTTGAAGACATGGATAAAAATGCACCAACAAATATTCCTTCAGATGATTTACCACCACATAACTGCATGTAGAATTTAGGTGTAAATATCAGAAATTCACTGACAACAAAATGGGAAGATTTTTGTAATAAATAAGACTACTGGATCAGGATGACATCAATTGTTTCACTTAATAGGATGCCACGAAATCAACCCATTTTCCTAGAAAACTATTTTAACAGTGTCTTATGGCCCTGTATTGAGATAAATTTGATAACAGGGTCAATTCACCCATAATACAGTAGACCAATAAATGCAACTCACAGATATACCGAAGATTCAACCCCTTATGTCTGTGTGGGGGGGTTGGGAGTGTGTGTGAGAGAGAGAGAGGGGGGAGAGCAAATTTTTAATGTATAATTAGAATAAATGAATCATGTTAATATCGAAGTCTTGGCGTGATATCAATTTGATCTGTAACTAAAAAAAGGTAAATGCCATAATGAGGTAAATGGAGAGAAATAATTCTAAACTTAAACAGTAAGATTAGTGTATCAACCTAGGAAATCTTTTTAAGTTCCTTCCGATCAAATCTCTCGTCTAGTTTGATCTCATATAGGTAAAAGTATTATGCCAGCTTACTCTTTTTTTATAGCATGAAAACAGGAAAGTTTTTCTTGCCAATTCTCACAATATTCCTATATAGTTTTTTATAGTTAAAGACAGATCTCATATTATGAGAAAGCTACATTAATTCATCCTGCTCCATACATAAATCAGAAAATCTTTCCAGAACTGAACCAAAAACTAAACATAACTGATATCAAGAGTTTGTGGTATACCAGATAACAAGATGTAATGAACAATATGGGTTGCAAACTTGCAAAGCATATTTATAAGGAATTAAGTTTTGCAAACTATTTGTAGAAGAAAAAGACATACTGAAGCTGTTACTCCACACAAGCACATAAATAAGAAAATTTGGAGCAGGCCTCCGAGAATAGCCACTGCTCGGACAACTCGAAGCTGCAAACATGAAAAGAAAGATATATATCATATATGGATGAGCAAAAAGTATACAGGTTTAAGCTAAAAGGAATTAATGAGTATACAATCCAACCTTTGTTGTTGAAAACTCTAAGCCCAATGCAAAGAGCAAAAATATAACACCAAATTGAGCAACTGTCTCAACCTGCAAGGAATGAAAGCAATATGAGAGGCTATTATGAGATAAAATAGATGACATTAAATTATCACTTCACTCCGGTATGTCATGAAGAAAGAGACTACCCATGACATCATGATCCCATTCAAACAATGATTTTATTTCTAGAAATAATGTGGCTAGCTAAAAGAGAGGGGGAAACGTACTTGGACCATTTCACTAACAAAACTTAAACCTCCTGGTCCAATGATTGATCCTGCCAGCAGATATCCAGTCATCACCTGCAAATTTAAATGTATGGATGATCCCACTTCTAAGAGGTATATGGTAGAGATAACTAGTTAAAACACTAAGACAATGATTGTGACCAAACCGGTTGTCCAGCACAAGCAAAGGCAATGCCACCACAAGTTGCAGAGACAATGACAACCACGAGATCTGATATCAATCTGAAAATACGGTGTATATAAAAGGATAAGCAGCCCGACTAGTTAGTAGCTGCAGCCACTCATACATGTAATGCTACTTGAAAAAGAAAGAAAAAGGGTAGGAACAATTTGTAAACCTCAAATCTAATTGAAGAACAGGATACTTTGACTTGGGATTGGATATGATAAAGACATTGTCCTGATGATGAAACAATAAGAAAAATATAAATAAAATAAAAATTAAATCCATTTTTGAGAAGAGTGATAAGATTGAGCTTTCATGCATAAAATTGTAATGATGTAGCAGTAACAGAAAATTATAGCACTCTGTTTAAAAGACCTAAACTTCAAGAGCTTGAATCAGACTTACCTTTCGGTCAATTAAAGTTGGCATATCCTCTGCCCTATTCTCATTATCTAAATTGAAGACATCGTGGAACTGAAAAGACCTGATAAAAAAGTTGACAAATGTAATAGATATAGAAAATAGTAAATGCATTTGCATTTAATTTTTTAACCAACAGTCCATTCGAATCTACAAGAAATAGGTGCATACTTTTCCTCTTTGCTCTCATTTTTCTTGGGCCTAACTCTGGCAACAGTTTCCAAAACAGCCTGACACATTAAACATGTCATGAGAAGGACATTAGATCATGAGTCTACTCAAGGGCATATAATAAACCACATATGTAAAATCCGTCAAAAATATGAAGACTCAAAATTAGAAAATCAGAAGTAACCAAGACGCGGTTTCCCACCCTAAAATTCATTATCCAGAGAATCTAAAACACAAATTCGACACATCATAAGTGATTCTGAACATGTTAACATAAACTCTAACTTCTGTCCTCGAATCAGCTTTATAATCATCTAACAAATTAAAATTATCATCAACAGGCTTAAGTCCTGACCAGAATTGAACTCTAGCCAAAAGCTAGATACCTATACTACCGGAATTAGGTCGCTAGTGTGCTAAACACTATTGCCCCCAGGATTGTTACATGTCTAAACAATCCAAAAATTCAGGAGGCAATTAAATATATCTTGAAAAGCAACTTACTACATACCTGCTGTCCAGCAACGCTGTTGTTGAAACCACCAGGATCGGTACCTGCAAAAGAGTCAGGGTAGTTCATTAAAGCGCATTCATCTGAAAAAAAACTTACCACAATGCTACGCACACGTGGTTCGTCAAGGATTCAACACGTTCATGACAACATATCCACGAGAAAACATGGAAGTTGGAAACATTTCAATGAATTACCAATACCATCATAAAAGCCAAAAAAAATTATAATCACAGTACACACATTATTACGAGGAGAATTTACAGAAAGTAGAAGTAATTTAGCAACGCACCAATATCACAAGAAGAATCAGGAAATTGAAGAAAAACGCATCCAGAAAATTAAACGAAACTCCAATTGAACGGCATTTTAGGAGATTCATATTGGAAAAGCACACACACAACAACGACGATCCAACGGAACGAAATTAAACGAGAAATTTAGAAAGGGTTGAGCATTAAAAAGACGAAGCGAGAGAAGGTAGATCTGCGAACCTTCATTCTGCTCATTATCGGGGAACTCTCGTTCGAGAGCCCGATCGATCATGTTGGCGAAGCTGTCATCGTCGGATCTAGCGAGCGAGGCATTGGCGAGGGCGGTTGCGTTGGCTCCGGCGAGGAGAAGCTCCGGGTCGGTCTGGGCGTCAGCGTGGCGGAGAGAGAGAGAGAATGATGGAAGAGAGAGAAGCAGATAGCAGAGAATGAAAAGGTTGGGAAGCGCATGTGGCGTTAACCTCATCTCCGAGCGTCGGAGAGAGAGAGGAGAATGGAGGAGTGGTGAAACGACGCCGTGGGGAGTTAGCAGCAGCGTGGTGTTTGGCGCGCGAATTGTTTATCTCTTTGTGTCACTCCTCACTCTTAACTCTTACGCGCAGAGAGGTTGTGGGTTAGAGAGGGGTAGCGTAGAGTGGAAGTGGGAAAGTACCAAACGGTCCTCCATTTTATTCGGTGTTGTGAAAATTGAAAGAGCAAGTTCCCAGTTCGAACGCCAGGATGGCCAAGTGCGTCTACGCGCAACAGGGCGCGTGTCTTTCACTGCACACCCAAGATGCTTACTTCTCTCTCTCACTCATGCAAATCATTACAGCTACAGAGAAGTTAAGAACTCAACTTTTCTCACCAATCATTTTTTTTTCGGATTTACTGGATATTCAAAATTTTCCCTTTAACCTAAATTTGGAAACACATAACATAATTGATAATTTCTTTTTTTTAATAAATATATCTACAGCTTACTAAATTTTTAAATAAATAATAAATGAATATAAATTTATTGTTTATTTTATTAATTTAAAATAAATCATTCATCCTCTCCTCTCCTCTTCTTAAAGTTTAATTATTTATTTTCTGTGCTTTAGGGATGTAAAAATGGTATGTTTTTAATTTTTATTTTGAATTCTAATGTTGATAGTTTTAAAGAATAAAAACATTTGATAAAGTATTAATTTTTTTAATTTTTTTTCTCCTATTAAAGATAATGATTAATGAGAATATATGTTTCTTATTATTAAATAATGAGAAAAGAATCTGATAAATAATTTTTTCCCACTCTAAAACTTTTATTATTATTTATTAATTTTATTAAAAATTGACATATAAATTTTGATATAAAATAATATTTTTATCTCTTTAATAAAATTAAATTATAACAAAATAAAATCAATATATCATAATTTTATTTTATAAATTTAATAAAATTAACTAGTATAATTACTTAGATTAGTTAGCATAATTTTAAAAAATATATATATTATATGATGTAGAGTGAGGTGAGTATTTGATACAATTAAAATAATAAGCTTAGTGCTTCACCAGTAAGGTTGAGACACTTTACGCAATGCCTGTTAGAATGGTTCTGTCGAAAATTCAATTTATATATGAGGTGAAAACTAAATGTTTGGTGTTCAAGTTTGTAAAATTATTTTTAAAAAATATCGTATCATTATTCAAACTTAGAAGTAACAAGTTAAGATCATTATAAAAATTGATTTTAGCAAATTGAATTATGAAACTCGCTCACGAAACAGAGTCTCAATCAAATTACTAAATTAAGTTTTTAACTTTAACTGAAAGTTAAACATTGTTGATATGACAGAAAAGAACACAACTTATTCTTTAAGTCGATTCTAAGTTTTCTATTTTAAAATTTTTAAAATAAAAAATTAGTGTGTTTACTTTTTAAAAGAAAAATAATATGCCTTCACCAAAAGGAACAAAAATAACGAAAAAATTAAAGTTACTTGCTATTTAACCGATTAAAAATTTATAATTAATAGATTAAAGTTGTTTTGAATATGTGAAACAAGTCAACAACTTTAATAGAATATGACGCTGTTTTGCTATTTTAATTATTTATAGTCGATTATAGTAATTTTTTATACTTTTATTATGATCTTTTTATAATGCTATTCACATACTTCTACACAAGTTAGGAATTAGGATGCAACAGTATCATATTGATCTAAACTTCGTATTAGGTTAAAGATGTAGAATTGAGAATATAGAATTGACAGTTTTAGTACAGTCTGAGAATGTAGAAAAGAACAAGGTTTATACTCTACTAATTTTTAGTATTAAAATCAATATTAAACAGGTTTTGAAATCTGTAATTAATAAAATAATTATTTTCAATTTAAATTTAACTTCAAAATAATTTCAAAAATAAATTAATTTTTTGAAATATTTTAAAATATACAATAATCTCCACATATTTCAAAAAAATTGAAAAATATTTTGATTTCTGATGTAATGCACCGAACTTGGTGTAATAAGATATTAAACCAAATTTAGATTAATAAAACAATTTAACACAATGTAGTAAATATAGCAAATTATTAAATGTAAAACATTTGATTTATATCATAAGTTAACTAATACACCCTACACTCTTTGTTGTTATTGTTGTGTTAAACTTTCACGATCCTATATAAGTGATCCTATAGAAATGACTGCACTTGAAATTAGGTGATTTCATCAAATGTAATATATTACCCTAAACTCTAATATATCATATAAGGGATATGAAAATCATTAAAATCTTTATAAGATATTAAAATTTTTCATAATCATATAAATCCTAAATTATAAAGATTATCCTCTCGTTAATACAATTTCAACACTTTCAATGTTAACGGGACTAACAAGTTTTTTTTTTCCATTAAATCTTCATCAAGGATCTTTAATTACAAAAGTTTGTTACCATCAATGTTTATTTCAAGTGGTTTTCATAAAATCTCATTTCCCTTTTTATTTATAATTCACTTTAGTTAGTAAATAACAAGGGTTTAAAGTCAAATAATTGACCAAATCCATTCCCTTTTTATTTATAATTCACTTTAGTTAGTAAATAACAAGGGTTTAAAGTCAAATAATTGACCAAATCCATTGTTAAGTATAGATAATAATTTTTTATCTTTTAAACAATTCTAATATCTCATCATTTCTTAATTGTATATTTTCAACATAATATTTGCTTAATTTTTTCAATCACTAAGAGCAACTCCAATGAGAGCTGCTAGTCCCATGAAACAACTCAAGCCTCAGTTTACCAGATTTTGGTGGAGGAAGAGATCAGCGGCGCAGGGTTAAGGCAGGGGTTGGACGGCAGAGGCGCGGGGTTGGACGACGAGGGTTTGACAACGGAGACGCGGAGTTTGACAATGGAGGCACGAGGTTTGACAGCGGAGGCGCAGGGTTTGACAGCGAGGGTTTGACAGTGGAGGCGTGGAGTTTGACGGCGAAGGCGCGGGGTTTGACGACGGAGGCACAGGGTTTGACAACGAGGGTTTGACAGTGGAGGCGTGGAGTTTGACGGCGAAGGCGCGGGGTTTGACGACGGAGGCGCAGGATTTGACAGCGAGGGCAAAGCCACGCGCGACAACTTTATTGAAGGCCTCGAGAGCCTTATCGAAGCAACACCATGGCCTCCCACAATGGACGGCAGTGCCTCCCACCAAGCACGGCACACGAGCGGAGGATGGAGAGTGAGGGAAGGAAAAAAGAAAAATGAGATTGAGGGGATGGAGAGTCCGGGAGGAAAAAGGAAGAGAGTGAGAGGAAGAGAATGGCCGGGAAGAAAAAAGAGACGTTGGGAGTTTAAAAAAAAAATAAAAATAAAAATAAAAGAACTGTTTAAAGCAGCCGTTGGGTATTTTTTTATAAAAAAAATCACTATAAGTATTTACTATTGCTTTATTTTATTTTTAATATCTACTTATTGTGTATTTTTTCTCGTAATTTAGTTTCTTTCATTATAGTGCAATTATCTTTTTTAATAAAAATTTAAATTTGATTCATAAATGATTAGAAAAAAATTCTAAAAGTTGAATTTCTTAAAACTTCTTACAATTGGAGTAAATTTGTGTTTAAGTTGTTTAATGCTGACATGACACACTGAAGACCATTTTTTTCATTTTTCAATACATAAAACAACTCAAATGAGTTACTTTCATTGGAGATACCCTTAGTTATCCACACACAAAACAAAACACAATTTCACAAACGATTAAAAAGAGAAACTCCTCTCTCTCTGTTTATGGTGAACGATGGAGGAGCTACCAGGTCCCGTGGTGGTGGAAATCCTGACTCGTTTAACGGACTCAAGGGATCTGGCGCGGTGCAGGGTGGCATCGAAGAGCCTAAACACGGTGTCGTACGAGGTGCTGTGGCTGAACATGGTGTGTTCCATGGCCTTGTTATTGAAGCTGTTGAATGCAAAAAAGACAATTGAAGTGGGAGTTTTTACTGGATACTCTCTTCTACTCACAGCACTCGCAATTCCTCTTGATGGAAAGGTTTGCATTTTTCTGTTGTTTGGCACATTTATACGTTGGTTTTATGTTAGCAACTCTATTGTCTGTTGTGGTGAAGATTATAGCCATAGATCCAGACAAAAAAGCTTATGACATAGGACTACCATTCATTAAAAAGGCTGGTGTAGAACACAAGATCGACTTCAAAGAGTCTCTAGCTTTACCTGTTCTTGATAAACTCTTAGAAGATGTGAGCATGCACGATTCTGCGTTACTTTCATGTTACTAAAATATCAATGTCATTTCATATTACAAGGAAAAAGTTAAACTTTAATGCAGCCTTCGAATAGGGAATCTTTTGACTTTGCCTTCGTTGATGCTGATAAAGATAACTATTGGAATTACCACGAGCGACTTCTTAAACTGGTAAAGATTGGTGGGATAATCATCTATGATAACACTCTTTGGGGAGGAACTGTTGCATTGCCCGAAGAGGATGTTCCAACACCCAAAAGAAGATTCAGGAAGGCTACACTGGATTTCAACAAAGCAATTGCAGATGATTCGCGCGTTGAAATTTCTGCTGTTTCAATAGGTGATGGCTTCACTATCTGCAGGCGTACTCCTTGAACATCATCTGCCAATGTTGTATTATGGTTGAATTAACTAATGTACTGTGTTTTCGGTTTAGTGGGTGGGGCTTGCTATAATTACGTACTAGGAACTTTGTTGTGGGGTACATTTATTTAAGTGAATTAATGTACTTTGTTGCGGTATTTATTAGGTACTTAGAGCATCTACAATGGGAGTTGCTTATAAGCAACTTCCAACCACTTTAAATGGGTCCCACTGTGCCACGTCACTCATAAGCAATTCATATTATATTTTTACAACTTTTGCTCCAATGGAAATTGCTTATAAGCACTCCTACTTTTTTACAACTCATACTACACTTTTTGACATCTCATACTATATTTTATGATAAATTTTTATAAAATTAATTATTATAAATAATATATAAATATAAATAATTAACAAAACAAATTACATAATTAAAAAATTACAATAATAAAAAAATATCAAAAATTACAATAATAAAAATTATAATTAAAAAATTACACTAATAAAATAATATTAAAAATTCTCTTCGGTCTCTCTTTCTCTCAAACTCTCAAATTCCATCTCTCTCCGGTCGACAGCCGCGCGCGCAGGGGGAGGGGGTTCCGGTCGGATCCGCGCGCGCAGGGGGAGGGGGTCTGGTCGAAGCTACGCGCAGGGGGAGGGGGTCCGGTCGAAGCTACGCGCAGGGGGAGGGGGTCGCGCAGGGAGGGAGTTCTGGTGCGGGGGCTGTCGGGACTGGTTGTTTGGAGGGTTCCACGTAGATCCGATTCCACCAATCAAATGTCTCTTCTCAGTGCTAGGCTCCGTTGCTTGTAGAAGCAACAAAGAAAATTTTTTAAGCAACTCGATTGCCACGTAAGATCACTCCAACGGGAGTTTCTTACAAGAACCGTTCCTTAACAATAAGCAACCCACTAAGCACCTCCCATTGGAGGTGCTCTTAGTATGAATGATGTGTACTAGAATTTGATTTGCCTCATCATGATCTGCAAGGCATATGGTGTGACTCTGATGTAAAACTGGGAGCGTTGCTATTTATTATTAATAAATAAAACAGAACGTTGTGTTGTAGCGTGTCTATAATGGAATGTTTTGTTTCAGTGTAAGATACATTATTCTTACAGATGTTTGGTAACGCGGAAATTAGTTTAAGGTGAATACCCAAATTAGTCCATAAAAACAACATCGTTCATGTATTAGAAGTAAACAGAAACCAGTGCGCAGAATGGTTGAATTAACCAAAGGACTACACGAGTGCAACTTCGAATTAGAAACAGATTATGATGTACAAAATACGGGAGCACAATATCCATTCATGTTAACAAAAACGGGATTAATTTCCGCAAAGCATCATCTCTAATCTACCATACTCATCATGCATGAGCTGCTATGTTATAACCTTCATACAGGAGAAAAGCATTCTGTCTTCACATAAAACATAAAACATAAAACATTCTTTGAATGTTTATCTGGAAACATAGATGAACATAATACCTGGTCAAAATAGCAGACAAATGATCATTCTAGTGAAAGAAACCAAGAACCTGGCCACCTACATTCTTTTTAATCGCCTCTTCATGATCCAAAATACCATCAGGAGTTGTAATCACAACATAACCCCACTGCACGCACAGAGAAAGAACTGCATAATTATCCTTTTCCTTTTGTTCTTGAAACACAAATTATAACAACTAGCATTCCTATAACATGAACACGGAACATTAAGCATTAACCAACCTGATGCGTTGGAAGAGTCTTTAATCTGTAGGCTTCAATATCCCTTGCCTTGAGGTCTTTTCGGAAAGTAAGGGCCTTGCAATCATTAATCCTACCTTGCAGTTCAACCGTGATCCTCCCCACTCTATGCGGATCATAGACTTGAAAGTCCCTGATATAACCTATCAGAAGCATATGCCAAATTACTTACACCAACAGTAGCATTGTAGTAGTAATAGTGATTATCACAAGTTCACAATGACAGAATTTTAGTTAGGTTTATGGCCTTTCATTTCCATCCAACTAGGCAAGCAGATATTTCACATACAGAAAGCCATACATACTCAGAAGTCAGAACATACTCCCCAAATGGAAAATAACAATAACAGTAATCATGGACTTGTATGAATAAATATCTACATAAACATTTATAAGAGAAACAATGGGAGCAAACAGTAATGGAAGAAGTCCTCCAAAGTCCAAAGACAAAAATCCAGCAGAGAGAGAAAATCACAGAAGAAACATTTTGCTAGTTAATTAAAAAGGGGATTCATATGATTTCAGTGATGCCCAGATTTGAAATTACCATGGTGTTTCATGATGCGGAGAAAGGAAGACATGAGAGTGGAGATTGGCTTGAGATCCACCGTAGCTTTCCCTCTCCTCTCAGCATTCACCATACTCCTCAACGCATCATTCAGTATCCTCCTCCCCATCTCTCCCAAACCCTCTCCCTCTCTCTCTAGGGTTTTCGAAACATAATGGATTATTAATTTCAAACACAAGGGCATATTCGACATTTCAGCCACGTCAAACGAAAACGTGAAATAATTTTAGTTAACCTTCACCATCAACTATTTTCAAGGAACGAATTCCGATAACAATTATATTTGGTTAATCTTAAATTAATTTTATTAAGTGTAATGACATAATATTAATAAATTTTATTTGGATTCAAGACATAATTAATCATAATTATATTTTTTAATACAATAAAAAGTTTATAATATTAAATATCATTAATTTATAATATTTTATAATATTTAAATTTTTCATATAAATAATTTTTTTATGATATATAATATAACTCATGTCATAAATGACTATAACTTTTAATAGATAAATTAAAAAAATTATACTATTAATACCAAGGATATTAACATTTATTATATAAATATATATTTAATTAAACACTAATTATCTTTCATATAATATTATATAAATTAACATATTATTCCAAAAATAAATAAAATATATGATCATCAAAATCAATTCAACAGAATATAAGGAGGTCTAGAAATTAGTGTCTAAAAAGTATAAAACAAGAATTATTCATCACCACATACATGATTAAAGTTATCATATTTATGTAAGAGAATTGATTAAAGTTAGGGTGACTGATTCTTCAAAATATAAGTCTAAAGTAAAATTTTGTTTTATTATAGTAGTAGTGTTCAACTTTAAATATATAAAATTATTTGTATATTTATTAAAAATAATTAATGAATATAAAAATTTATAAATAAATGTTGTCTAAATAATAAAAACGATGAAAACATAAATTTGTGATTAGTATTTTAATATATGTAATCTATATTTTTTTATTATAAATTTTTGAATTTACATACAAATAGATAATTATGGAGATTAAAAAAAAATGTTGGAGGTCAATATTTTTTTATAAAAGTACATTATTGTAAATTTTTTAGTTACAAAAATACATAAATATCTAAATTAGTTGAGAAAATAACATTATATTATAATTTTAAGATTGTATTCTTAATTTATTTTTAAAAAAATTTACACATATATTTTAAGTTGTTGTTCTCTTGCCTAATAGAATTATTATTTTCTTTTATACGTAAATAATTTAGATTTATTTTTTATCTTTACTTTTTATACCATTATAATTTCAATAATATTACATTTATAATAACAATTAACTATATTTTATTTATATTATCTTTTGAAATATTTTAAGTATATTTAAAAATAAGTTAAAAATATTTTTAAGATTTATTTTATTAAAAATAAAGAAAAAAAATCAATAAAAAAGCTTTTAAAAACGATCTAAACTTTATAAAAATATATTCTTTGTTTCTCTCTTCTGCGAAAATTTGTTTCTATTTTGTTACTCTATGTAACCTTCACCCTTTATAACTTCTTTCACCTAAATAACTTCCCTCTAACTCATCCCTGGAATGCATTAGTCTTTGTAAATAAAAGCATTTCTTTTTCTTCATTTCTTTGGAGACATATATTTGTCATGAAATCCTGTTTCGTTCACGTGAAATCTTATTCTACGTGGTATACCATGAATCATGATAATGAAATTCTTAGGTATTTGAAAAATCATGTGAATCTTATTCTATATAATGATATTTCTAATTCTAGGTATTTAAAAAATGGTTTGGTTAACTATTAAAATTGGTTAGGAATCTTTATATAAAATTGGTTCAAATTTTGAATGCATTACTATTTAATTACTTAAACTCTTTTCAGCTACAAAAATTTCGTGAAGAACTAAAGAATCGCTCACGAGTCTTAAAGAAGCTTGGTCATATTGATGCTGATGGTGTAGTTCAGTTGAAGGGACGGGCAGCCTGCTTGATTGACACGGGCGACGAACTCCTTGTTACCGAATTAATGTTTAATGGTGAATCAATATTTGTTTCCTCATTGTGCTTTCTGTATAGTTTGCAGTTCAATATATTTTGTAACCTTTTTTTTCTTCATTTCCCCTCCTCCGCCAAAACTGTGAATTGCCTTTCTGTGTCATATTTTATCCTTCATTTCATTTACCTTGTAACTTCTCTGTTTCATTCTCCTGCTTTTAAATGGATAAGGTTCTTAAATCACATGATTTCTATTAAAATAAAGTACAATATTTTTTTTTTGGTAAACTCTAGTCACAGATTTTACTAGGTACACTATTTTCTGATTATTTTAGAGAACAAATTGGAAGACAATAGAGCTTGACTGATTTTAACAGAATCAGAACAATAATTATGTTTTGTATTCTCTAAAATAATATTTCCAGGACATGGATGTACAGGACGCAGAGATAGTTGAACTAGTCATTGTCTTCCAATTTGTTCTCTAAAATAATCAGAAAATAGTGTACCTAGTAAAATCTGTGACTAGAGTTTACCAAAAAAAAAATATTGTACTTTATTTTAATAGAAATCATGTGATTTAAGAACCTTATCCATTTAAAAGCAGGAGAATGAAACAGAGAAGTTGCAAGGTAAATGAAATGAAGGATAAAATATGACACAGAAAGGCAATTCACAGTTTTGGCTATGCAATGTAAATACCGGAACAAACCTTATAATGAGAAGATAGAATGTCAGAAAACAATCAATTAACTAAATCTTTTGTTGTTATGTAGTTTAAGTAAAAAGCATGCACACGGCTAATGATCACCTCTCTTTCACCG